GGGTCGGGGCGCTAGTCTTGTATCGCGGGGGGGGGGGGGGTGGGGCCCTCAGAGGTAAAAAGTTTGAGAACCACTGGTTTAGAGAGATTTTGTCGCAGTGAATTATGGGTAAATAATATTGCGCATGCGCAGGACTTGTATTTCAGATTTCAGACGACAGATGTCGCTATCAATCACACAACCCCTAGTCTCGTAATTGTACTGATTATTAAGAACATACTAGCAAATTTTAGTTGAGATCTATATTAAAAATCGCGGGGTTACCGCTATTATAGAATAAGATATTTATAAGAATGTGCTACAGAAGGCCGGATTGGCATTTCCTAGGCCTGTTTTGTATTTACAATATTTTTTCTACAATAAAATATAGTCTCGTTATGTCGTTTCAACATACATAAACCGATGCTGCTCATTACTTTCATTCCAGCTCTCGTATTTAAAAATAATTGTAGCAGTCAACTGGATGTATTTAAAAATAATTGTAGCAGTCGACTGGATGTATTTAAAAATAATTGTAGCAGTCGACTGGATGTATTTAAAGATAATTTTAGTAGTATAGATGCACGTATAGAACATATAAAGAAACAAGAATGGGTATAAAATCTTGCCTTAAAACGCAGAAGCAAGGGATACCCAAGGACATCGGTACAAAGACAAAAAATTAATATCAAAACGGAGCTTAGAGAAATAGGTGTGAAAATAAGAACCGATTTGAACTTGCTAAGAACTGAATCCAATGACGGATCTGTGGTAACAGTGACCGCTGTCTAACTTCGATAGCATAAGGAAATATCTTAATAAACTACTTAAGGGCAATTCTGCAGCAGAACGTTTTTAAAGGGCTTGCACACAGCATAATTGAATTTATTATTACCTTTGTGTGAATTAACACAAAACTACAGACACAACATACACCCTTCTCACATTACAGTCCTGTGACTAAGCCAGACAGAATATGTTTGATTAATTAGCAGTTCTTCTTCTAAGATCATCTACATTTCATGATTCACATTTGCATGTTCCTTTCAATTTTGTAATGAAATGATACAACTGCTTCTATTCTACTTCTGTGACGTAAGCAGGTGTTCAGAGATGGGATTCGCTGGGTAGCCCAAGCCTGTAAAAAGGAAAACTTTGACAAGATCACATAAGCACAGACAGATGGTTCTTGGTGTTGTTAATACAGGATGACATCTGTCTTCTGTCTCGGAGTATGAAGTGCGTTGTAAATCAAGCGGGCAAGAGTTACCTTGCAGGACACCAGCAGGATTATCAGACAGCGGTCTCGGTGGCTCACATTTTATAGGCCCTATTATAATATTACTGACTTCTCTGAAGTCAGTGTGCTTTGTGTAAATGGTGTATAAGGCATACTATGCGTACATGATAAATGTCCGTAATTGTTATTAAATATACTTGTCTCTCGGGAAGGGACTTCTCAAGATACATAAAAAATACATTTACGTTCTTAAGTAACATGGGCCCTAGATGATGTAACGTGAATAAACGCTAAAACAAACAATAAGCATTAAAACCATGTGTTCAGGAAAATATTTGAATATGTAAAGGATAGATTAAGTAGGTAAATTAGGATATTAAACCTACATAAGGATTTATTTTGTGGTTTATATTATATTCTTGAGATAGTTAAATAGAGGGCGCTTAGATGAGCTGGATTTATAGACAAGTTAGTAGCGCAAGAGAATATATAGACAATGTTTTGGAAACATAGCTTTGAAAACGCCAACTTGGATGACCTAGAAAAGATTAAATGCTACATTAGATCGATTTTAAGGAGGTAGATTGTGCGGATGGAACTGACTCAGTATCCTGTATAATGGCTAAGTTTAGTCTTAATAATATTGAATTTTAGGGTTCTGCTACCAAAGTGTTAGTTTATTTATTATTAGTAGTATTATAACTAGAATTAGTTCTGCATGGGTGTGAAACTTGGTCTCTGACATTAAGGAAGGAACATAGACTGAGGGTGTTTGAGAACAGGGTGTTGAGGAGAATATTTGGACCGAAGAGAGATGAAGTGACAGGAAGTTGGAGAAACTGCATAATGAGGAGCTTCATAACTTGTACTCTTCTCCAAGTATAATTAGAATGATCGAGTCAAGGAGGATGGGGTGGGCAGGTCATGTGGCACGAATGGGGAAGACGAGACGAGGAATGCGTATAGGATATTGGTGGGAAAGCCAGAAAGAAAGAGACCACTGGGAAGACCAAGGCATAGGTGGGTGGACAATATTAGAATGGATCTTAGAGAGACAGTATGGGATGGTATGGATTGGACAGATCTGGCTCAGGATAGGGATCAGTGGAGGGCTCCTGTGAACACGGTAATGAACCTTCGGGTTCCATAAAATGCTGGGAAATTCTTGAGTAGCTGCAGAATTTGCGGTTCCTCCAGAAGGGCTCAGCTCCATGAGTAAGTAAGTAAGTAAGTAAATTACAACTAGTATTAGTACCAGGGTTAGTAGCAGTAGTAGGCGTATCATCAACACAATTATCACAGTATTGTTACCACAACCTTCGCGGTCAGTATGCCACTTCATTAATAAAATGACTATACCCTGTTTTACAGTGGAATCCAAGGGTTTGGGGAGAATGATAAATTGAATGCTTTTCGCAAAGGATAACTATGACCGTCATAAAAATAGCCCAAAATCAAATGATCGTTACATATCACTACTCTACAACGATAACCATGATCCTGTCGTGGACGGTTACTCACAGAAACTACTGGTCTGCGCCAGCTCCAGCGTTTGCGCCTGCGCCAAACGAAAAACCCATCTTCGCTTTTGCTCCTCCTCCGAATCCTTCAGCACCAGCTCCCATTTCACCCTCGGTATGACCACCGAAACCACCACCCTGTGATGCCTGCTTCCAACTGTCCTGAACAATCAATCAGCAGATATTGAGTGCCCTGTAACTACTGACACAAGAGCAACAGGAGTGAAATATTATAATCCAGTTTGGGGTGCACAGAGTTCCCATCAACTTTGCTCTAAACTTGAAGACACTATACCTCTAAGAAAATGGTCACTTCCTTCGAGGATCCCCGATCAAAACTGAGCAGGGATTTATCATTTACATGTATGTTACACGTCTAATTCATCTCATCTTCCTTGATTTTAAAAGTTCTAACAATATTAGGCGAAGAGTACAAATTTTGAGTAAGATATGAAAGTTAGTAACAATGGTATATTAACACAATTATTGACATTCTGGACATTATCAATTTTCCTGGATAGTAAAGCGCGGCCGGCCAGCAAGGCTGACAACCTTACCGCCATCTGTGAGCCGATTGTCTAGATAATATGTGACCTTCAACGTCTCACAACCCTATGGACCTTCACGGCCCGTTACAGGGATAGCTTTACTTTTACTTTACTAGACATTATCAACCCTCCCACATTTACTTAAAATAATATTTCAGAGACTGGACTCTAACTTCGCCCTGAGGTAAAAAGCCTACTCCGGCCCAATGGATGAAGCTAGTCTCTGTCCTTGTTCCCTTGTAAAGAGATATTGACTATCTCTAATAATTGAACAAAACTGAGTGAACAGTTTAACTGAGAACAGATGCAGAGTCCACTATTTAGGGTTGTGCGTTATTTATAGACGTGTTTTGGATTGGATGATACAGGCACTTATAAAGCTACCGCTATATCCCCACTTCATTATTTCACCGTTACATACGCACTAGGGTTCTCAGTCTTCACTAGTTGTATCCTGGCAACGGATTTATAACAGTATCACTCTGACTTCAGATCACACATGAAGTCTTCTTTGCAGAGCCTAATGCCATTCTTGCCTTTTCTTCTCAATTATTTGCTAGTTGCCAAAACCGGAGACTCTCAATTCTAATTCCTCTGCTACCAGGCAGGCTGGCTTCTCGAAACTCAACTAACTCAAACGTCAAAGTCAAAGTCAAAGTCACATTGCGACTGACGGTCAGGCAGTCAGTCAGTCTTGGTGTCGAGCTCCATCTGGGGCTCATGACTACATATTTATTACTATTTGACAGTTACAGTCTTGTTATCGTGGGGCGCCCTCTCTGACGAGAGGACGGGTCTGTCTTTTGTCAGAGGCATTGTCTGCAGTGTAAGCCATTTGACATAATGTAAAAGATGTTTACATTTTATATAATAAATATATTAAAAATATATATACAATATATACAGGGCTTCTGTCAGTCCAGGATCAGTACAGCAGATTTTGCCCTATTTCTAGTAGTTTCCCTTACAACGGCAGTCTAGTCACTGGAACGGTCGTATGCTTGACCACCGCCAAGTTTAGGCCTCTTATACTTTCATTCGTCTTGTACAATATTGCGAACATTTTCGTTATCGTGATTTTGTATGACTTCTGCTTGTTGCCTGCATAATTTTGTTATAGTGAAACTTGGTTTCTGACATAAACTGAGGGTGTTTGAGAACAGGGTGTTGAGGAGAATATTTGGACCGAAGAGGGATGAAGTGACAGAAGGTTGGAGAAAACTGCATAATCAGGAGCTTCATAACTTGTACTCTTCTCTAAGTATAATTAGAAGAATAAAGTCAAGGAGGATGAGGTGGGCAGGTCATGTAGCACGAATGGATGTGAGGAGGACTGCGTATAGGATATTGGTGGGAAAGGCAGAAGGAAAGAGACCACAAGGAATACCAAGGTGTAGGTGGGTGGACAATATTAGAATGGATGTTAGAGACATAGGATGGGATGGTATGGATTGGATATATCTGGCTCAGGATAGGGATCAGTGGAGGGCTCTTGTGAACACGGTGATGAATCTTCGGGTTCCATAAAATGCTGGGATGTTCTTGAGTAGCTGCAGAATTGGCGGCTCCTCCAGAAGGGCTCAGCTCCATAAGTAAGTGAGTAAGTGAGTAAGTAAGTAAGTAATGGTATACGTGCAGAATTTTGAAAGTCACGTGTAAATTGCGAACCGGTGTGAGCCTTTGATAATTGCCAATGGTGCGGAGAATCTTGTTTTGTAGGCGCTGCAATTTCATTAGACGGGTACCTGCCGCGAATTCCCAGGTGGGACTAGCTTACGTCATTACAGATCTAATGAGAGCTTTGTGGAGGGTCAGTTTAATGTTAGCGCTAACTCAAACGATCTCTTCTTCGCCCTAACCTCTCAGCACGGACCACGCAGAAAACACAGTTAGTCTACTGCTGAGAAGGCTTGTTTACAGCGCCGTTACATTGCAATGGAATTATCTGAGTGTTGCTTACGTATTTGTTGCCGCGAGAATGTGTTTACCGAACAGTTGCCTAGTAATGGACGTCTCCCCTGAGTTCACTATTCCGGCTTTCGGGCGTCATGTCGCAGTTTTAAATAAATATTAGGACAATGACCAGGAAGTCTAGAACTGTAGAAATTACATTCCTTTTTCTTTTTTTCTACGGCCTTTATTATTTCAACTTTCTTTGTTTAATCTTCCTCAATCTACGCTCCTTCCTTAGGGTTAGGACATTGTGTCGTCCTTTCTGAATGATACTTACTTGCAGGTCTCGTCTGCGCCGGGGCGCTGCTGTTGTGATAGCTTCAGACTCAGATGCGCCTTCTGCTGCCGTTGCTGCCGTGGTCGACGTGGTCGGTCCTTTTTCACAGCCGTCGGCTAGGCTCGCCAACAACTGGAAAGCACACGGCATTTGTTAGGCCTCCTAAATCCTTATTACGACATTAAGATATTAAACTTTCGTCAACCATCACAGAAGTACACATAGAAACCAGGAAGACCTTCTGTATCCAAGACATTTGCGAGGTCTGACAGCATATGTCCGATTACAGGATCGGGTTTTTAAGCACCACCAGATGCTGGTGCCCCTTACTTCTTCCAGCGGTTGGGGTTCCATTCCGCCCAAAATCTTGAAGAATTTGTTTCTTACCACCGAATCCAGAACGGATCTAGGGCCATGCATTAAAGACGGCTGGAGTGAGAAACATTTTAGTATCCTTCACTTAATTCAAGTGTGAGTTGGGCTTTAACTCCACGTCCATATACTCCCGAATGGTGCGAAATATATGCAAAGAAATTTATTTATTTATTAATCGCATTTAGTTTATGATTTGATTCTTTGAGTGCCGAATATAGACTGCCTTCTCTTAAGTCTGTGCTTCGTGTTCTGTTTTTGTTAAAGTGTGCGTCAGCGTCCATAGCTTCATGCGCTTGGATAAGTATCAAGACAAGTCATGTGTTTGTAGGATGTGAGGTTCTCAGAGCGGTAGTTATGATGAGTTTTATCTTCTGGAATATAACGTGGTGTAGTCCGTTGAACGTCAACTGACGTTTCGGAGGAATATGGCGCCTCCATTTTCAGGGTCGAAGAAAAAGCCATGGAAGAAACCAGAGTGAAAGCAGGTGGCGAATGCTGGCCTTTGCTCTGCTTATTCTTTGATCCTGAAGACGGAGAAAAGTTACTCCGAAACGTCAGTTGACTTGCAACAGACTACATGACGTTATATCCCAGATGACAGAACTATTCAGGTTAAGTTTTATTAAACTCAGTATGGAGTTAAGTAGATTTAAACTACGTTAAATAGTAAAATTGGCTAGTAACGAATAAAGCTTACGATGGAACAATATATTTTGGGTTACAAAGTCCTAATAAAACAGGTTACATATGAACCAGGGACCCGAGAACCAGCAGCTAATTCCTGGATCCTCTTTTAATACTGCGAAATCTCTAGTGGTTTAAAAAAAAATATTTGACAGGACAGTTGAAGGCATGTTTCAAGCCAACATCATTTATTTATCTGTATACAGTAATCTCTGCTACAATTATGAAATTTAGGTCAGACATACACAAAACAACAAACTTTGATGTGATGAAAGTATTATTAGTATAATAGTAGGTAAAATAGGAAAAACCAGAAACTTATCAGCATCCCTACGTACATTGATACATTTTTCAAGAGAATAAAAAATATATAAAAACCGTCAGAATTAAAACAAATAACGACAATTCTGTGTGTGTGTGTGGGGGGGGGTAAATGAACTTGGTATTAAGGTTGTGCCGATTTCTAATTTCTATTCTGGGGACGATTATCCTTAGTTCACAGCCGGAATTAATTTATTCCTCTGGACAAATACTGAGATAGCATTTCAAAATTGGTTAGACCACTTTTTTTTTCCACATCCATCCTATTTCATGATTCTAATTCACTCTTCCATTCGGCTTACAATTTCTGACGTAAGCAAAGCGTCGTTAAATAAGGAAAGAAATTTTCTGAACTTACCGCGGCCACAACCAGCACCACAATCAGCAGAGAACTCAGGAGCCTCATTATAGCTTGGACGAGTGTCACCAGAGGAATACTTCGATGCTGCCTGTCGACTCCTATTTATATTAAGCTTGTTTATTCCATACCTTATCATTACTAGAGATTTACAATATATATTCAGCAACCACACAGACACACGAATATAAAACCTTTAGAAGAAAAACGAAATAAAGTAATAAGTATCAGTACACAGATGGGTAAAAATTTAAATAAATGTGTTTTGTTTCATTCAAAATTTAAATATTCAGATATCCAATATTACAATAATACGTATTGTATTTTAAGAGAATAGTCATTATGATCTTGTATATTACTATACAAAACTATTAATAAATATTAAATAATGTAATTTAGATATTACATGGTATGTGTAAGTCCTTTCTACTCTCAGATCTAGGTAGCCATGACATCAATGCCGTCTGATATATTATATTTTTACAGGAAGTCAATAACGACATATACAACAAAAACATATTTCGTATGCCAATATGATGTTCAAAAGAGACGTGGAAGTGGTAAATGATCGTGGAACAGGAAGTATGGTTGGAAGTACGTAAGGCTTACATTCGTGCATCAGCAGAATACACAATGATAGCACTTCCGTAGCCTTTGTGGGCTTTGAGGTTCTCACAGAGGTGATTGTGAGGATTGATGTCTTCCGGAATACTATAAAGCGTAGTCTGGTAGATGCTTATAGGCTTTTCGAATGAACATCTTGCTTCCATCTTCGTGATACAAGATTGTCCTGAATATTTAGGCAGTTCGTTACTCCGCATCGTTATTAAACAGTTACCAGACTATAAGGCGTAACATTCCATAACAGAGTAATCTTAAGTTTTCCTTGATCAATAAATAGACGATAGAGATATGATGTTGTAGTTGCTTCGAGAATTCTCCAATTCAGTGACACCTTCAAATAAGATATACTGGGATAATTTTTCTATCTGAACACTTCCAATTTTAGAACAATTATAAATCGATAGCTATACAATTTACTTAAATATTCTGATGGATAATTTCCATTAATATGCTGTGGTATGTAGACCCGTTATTAGGCAACGGTCGGGAAACAAACAACTAGACAACGGCTCCTACTAGGCAAGGGTCAGTAAATAGCAACAGGGGAACGGTGTTTTCTGTGCGAGCCGTGCCGAGATGTTATAATCAGGCCAGTTAATGAGAGCTAGTTCTGTTGAGTATCTGGTTCGTGACGCGAGAAGAGAATTAGTTGGTGAGTGAGAGAGAGGACTGCTGCGGTTCAGTCCTTATAAGCTGTTGCTGTGAGAAGCTGGTATCTGAGGCACTCTGAGGAAACTCAGAGGAAGAGGAACGTCAGCTGTTGTAAGCCGCTACCGAGCAACGGCTAGTGAAGAAGTGATTGTGGACACTAGTGCGTGTGTATAATTGTGAGTTATGAAGTGTAGTGATGAGCTGTTTAAGAGCTCCATAAATCTAATTAACAATTAAAACCCTGACTATAATCACTCCATACACGTGATAATAAATTTGAAATGTCTAAAATTAGACTGTAATCATTACTTCGAGCCTGCTGCTACATTTAAAACTTAAAATATCTACGAATACGTTTATGATCAACAACCCCCATAATAATGTCGTTCTTTGATTCAGTGATTAATTATTTATCAATATCCAACAAGGAAATATAGTTTACGCCCGGACGCCATGATGTTTTTACATTGTACATAGAAATGACCTTAGATGTTATCACGCAACATTTCAATGTCCTACATTAAATGGAGTTGCTTTTCACAAGTTCGCAAAGCCAATTTGTTGCTATTATCAATAACATGGAAGTGAGATAAAAATGATCTAGTGATAAGACGCTCTCTTGATCAGTCTATTAATAATTTATTCGAGACCCCATATTACATATTTAGATGACAGGCTTACCACCGGAAGTCACTACCAACTCGTGAGACACGTAATGTATTTCGGACCATCAAGATAGTTATGTTTCCCACACAACATTACAGTATGGAGTTTACAGCGGCACGTTAAAATGTTAGTTAACATATTGAGTGAATGGGAACAAAATCAAGAAGCATAACAAATATGATATAAATCAACGTATCCAACTTTTGTCTCCACTGTGTGAAACGTTAATCTGAACACTGAGCAACTCTGTTTGCCTCCAGCATAACCTGACAGTAAAGATGAAGTTAATAAAACAGGCTGTATATCGAAAAGTGGGATATTTAGAAAACAATGAAGGTAAAGTTTTCCAAACAGGGGTATGAGGTAGAGTCAGTTAAATAAACCTGAGAATCCGTACACAGCGGAGGAATTCCAAACGTTGAGATGTTTCCGCCTTCATCGACATGGAGGCGAAAAGCTTGGTGAACTTGGTCGTAATGTGGGCATTCATGCAGAATGTACGAGGGGGTACCCAAAAGAAACCGAACTTATTTTTTTTAAACTTATTTATTCAAATTTAAGCACAAACCTTCAATCCCCTTCAAAGTACTCTCCACTTACACTAATACACTTGTCTAGTCTTTTATTCCATTTTTCAAAACATTGTCTAAATTCATCTTTTGAGATGCTTGACAGCGCCTCCGTCGTTTTTTCCTTTCATGTCTCTTTTCATTCGAGGAAACAAAAAAAGTCACATGGGGCAAGGTCGGGTGAGTATGGAGGGTGAGGAACAGGGGTCATACCATTTTTGGTCAAGAATTGTCGTACAGACAGGGCTGTGTGAGCAGGGGCATTGTCATGATGGAAAAACCAGTCACCCGACTGCCACAAATCTGGCCGCTGAGCTCCAAGTCACTCCCGACAGCTCCACAATTTCTTCAATGGTCCGTCGTCGATCTTCCTTGATGATTTCACGAATTTTTTCAACATTTTCATGTGTTCGGGCCGTGGAAGGACGACCAGAACGAGGTTTGTCATCAATTGACATTTCACCATTTTTGAAACGGGAAAACCACTCAAACACTTGAGTTTCCCCCATAGCATCGTCCTTGTACGCCGTTTTTAACATTTCAAGAGTTTCTGTTCCACTTTTACCGAGCAAAAAGCAGAATTTCACCGCCGCACGCTGTTCACGAAAATCAGCCATTGCAAAAACGACGATCACACAAAACAGTTGTCACTATAAACTCTGCCGAAACTAGTCCTTACCTTCTGAAGCAACGGTAGTCGGCTTATGGACTCAGGAATGTTAGCTCTATGCGCTCATAGCGGCAAAACGCGGTACTACAAAAGCTCTGCCCACAAAAAAATTAGTTCGGTTTCTTTGGGTACCCCATCGTATGTCGCAGTCATTATAGACAGGTACCGGGTCACCTCTTAACGGATGGCTGATTGTAAAACGAGTGTGACCAACCCGAAGTCGCGCTACCATAACATCCTCATCCCTGTTAGAGCTACGGGATGGGTGCCATGCCTACACTGTCAGTTTCAAGACTCGTATTTTGTTGCCCACTGTCTGCGTTCGTATTATCAAAATAGCGCGAACATCACTACCTAAGGCTCGGTCTGATATTTAATTTCAGAGCAAAGTGGCTCCCTTAGAGGCGGCATCGGCAACCTCATTCTCTGGCAGACGTGTGGCCACATATCCAACAGAAAACGACAGACTTCCGTTCCTCGTGTGGGTTGTACATTTGTCGCAGAATTTCCAAAATTACCGGATGGTATAGCGTGTGACTTTGTAGAGTCTGCGCAAAGGATGTAACATAGCCGGGATTGTCGCCTAATGAACAGAAGAGCTTGGTATTCAACTCGTACCAGTTGTGATGGGTGGGGATGAAAGATGGGTGATTGGGATATCTTGAGAGCTTTGTCATATAAATGCAGAGAGGATTTCTCAGTAGGGGGAGTGGAGGTTCTCCAGATGTCAAGTATGGAAGGAGCCAGTGACAAGACGAATCTCGGTGTTGTGGACAGGGTCAAGGATTCACAGTTCATGCTTCGCTGGGGACACATAAACGAAAGTGTCATAGCCCATCTGGGAGCGGATTAGGAAATGAAAAGATCGAAACAATGCAGTCTGGTCTCCGACCCAAGGCCTACCAGATACAAGTTTTAAAACATAAATGATCGTTCGCACTTAGTACCCAGCCGTCGTAGGTGCAGTTCTCATGAATTTGCTGTCAAAAAAAGCCCTAGAAATTTGATAGCTGGAGCAAATGGCAGAGCGCTGTCATTAAGGCACAGGTCTGCAGAGGGATATTAACTCCTTAATCGTGAGAAATGTACATACTCGGTCTTTGCAGTGGAGAAGGTAAATATGTCCTCACAACCTAATGCCATAAGAGATTGATGGCAACACTCCAAGACCTGTACTAAATTGCAAGGTCATCAACACGCGCAGATGTTGCAACTGAAGGACCAACAGTGCTGACAATCCCACTGATCGTGACAGCAAACAGGGCCACACTTAAGACCGATCCTTCTGGCACTCCATTTTCTTGTCAATAGACAGCAGAAAAGACACTGCTGAGATGAAACTCAGAGGTGATGATCTTGGAGGAAGCTCTAGAAGAAAAATGGCAGCCAAGCTCTAAGATTTCAACCCTTAAGCCTTCTTTCAGATACTGTATCGCCAAGTTGTATTTTATGCTCCTCCAATTCAAACAATACTGGCATGAGCTGTTAGCGAATGGCAACAAAATCTTGATACTGTCCTCCAAGTACACAAGGTGGTCGAGGTAGGATCTGTGGCATTGGAATCCATAAAGGGTGTTTGAAATGAGATTTCTGCTTTCAAGGATCGTGAAGAGCTGATGGTTTGCCATGCACTGCATGGTCTTGCAGACACAGATTAACAGGCCTGTAACTAGCTGTGAGGAAGTGATCAAGATTGGGTTTCAGGATGGAGATAAATTTAGCTTCTCTACAGGCAGATAGGAAGGGCTTCTCTAGCTATGTATGATGGCAAACTGACAGTATAAATTTCATACATGTGGGTGGAAGAGGAGAGACAATCATGTTTTGGACTGTGTCAGGAACTGGGGATGTGTTGTGTGGCATTTCAGTGGAATTACATTCTCAAGTGTTGAGTGGGAATCTAAGCATCTGAGAGCTTGCTTCCAAAC